GGGGGGGCGGCGGCGGCGGCAAGTACATCTCCTCAGTAGAGGCTACTCACCTGGATAGCCTCATTCCCTGATGAAGATGGTCTGTTAGATATCGAAATATTTGACTGAAGAAAAACTATTTCATTCTTATCAGGTCACGTTATAATTGCCAATATATGAGTTGCTATTCAAGTTCAATAATAACAATGGAGGTTTCTCTGCCAGTTTTTGAGATAACAGAGTCAGAAATTTTGCAAAGTGCAGTTCATGGCGAAAAGTAGGTCAGAATTGTAGAATGACACGAGGACCAAAAAAATACAACACAAGAATGAAGAATGTGTTGCCAGTAATTTCAAACGTATGTCCATAAAAATGTCTGTGAATCAGAAAACTATTACACCCGTTGTGTTTGGCAATAACATTTGCATCGCGAAACTACAAAGTAAGGCAGTCTCTTTCAACCGATTGAAGCTCTAATAGGGCCTGCCCAGCCTGAGACTGAATTCTTTCTTATTTAATTTCTTTTTGATAAAAAAAAGAAACTCAAACTGTGAGCCTTCATGTGCAATATCACCAACTCATGGTTGTGAACAGGTAGTGAAGTATCCATCTAGAATCAGATGTTTGGACCTTTTCAGAACCCGTAATAAAGCAGAAAGATTTAGGTTGCTGTTGATCATACTGTTACTGTACTCCTAACATTAGGTGCACAACTTCTTTCTCTAATCTGGCTTATAAAACTGTCAGGGTCTACCTTCTTTCCAATTTTCACTTAACTTCTGATGAGTCCCTCAATATCATTTTTCTAAACAAAAGGGATAGCCTGCGCACCACTTACAATGAAAAAACAGAGCTTCAAGTCAGTAAAATCGCTTAACACATGACCACTTTCACTGGTAGAAATTGTGCACTGATTGGTAGCCAAATTAATAGTGGTAGCAGTAAAAGGTGTGCATGAGGTGAAAAATGAATTGAAAGCATGCAAACAATTCCCCAAGACAACCAAGCATAAAACTGAACATAAAGCAGGCAAACTAGGAAACTGAAATTGCACTTTTGATGAATTATAAATGCACTTAATGATTGGTTATGATTATGTTAATTATTTAAGACACCAATCTGATATCATCTCAACACTGGGTGACACTTTTCCTTGGCTCATGTGTCCCTTTAATGTTCACCTTGCATAAGTTCTCTGGCTGCCTGAGAATCCAGGTTATCCATGGGGAGACCTGCTTCGTAACATTTCTTGGTGCTGCCATCTTTTATTTGTTCCTGGTAATGACTGTTCTTTGAAGACGGTTGCCAGCTGTTACCTTCAATCAGAGGAATCACATACTTCTTTGGTTCTTTTTGGGGTTTTTGGCTAAAATTATGCAATTAAAGAGGAACCTGATTACAGGTATATGGTACAATAAATTATGCGCAGAGATGCAGTGCGCTAGTGCTTGTACTATGCTGAATAATTGTACTGAATGGAAAATCCTTCAAAATTAATACTGTAATTGCACTGTGGGGAATAATTGTACTGAATAGGAAAGATTGGCAATCCCCATGTTTATTGTGAAAAAAGCCATTGCTTTGAAAAGAATTTTTATTTTTTTTAATATTTGCATACAAGCTGAAAGAAGTGCATCTTATATGCATCTGTATTTACATAAAATTTCGCAAGCAACTACATAACATTTATTACTAAAATGAGTTGGCATATGTACTGATGAATTTATCCATTAACTACTTGTGATTATTACACTGCTGCAGGGCTTATTTTTCAGGTCACCTGTCAGGCTGGGCTTACTGTTAACAACCTGTCCCCATCTAATTTTCACTTGTCCCTTGTTTTCAGTATTTAGGCTTGTTTGTTTAGGTAGATAAAATGATGGACAGGGTTGCGTCCTGACTTTGCCATTGCGTAATACCCTCATTGAAAACGATGTTGTCCCTCATTTTGAGACATGCAGCACCACTTAAGATGCAATGTTACAACAACTGTCCGTTAAAATATTGTTAAAAACAACTATCTAAAGAGCATAAATGAACATTTCTCTTTCTTACTTATCGATCACTCAACATGCGGCTGAAGCCGTATTTGTTTACACAGCACGTGTAGTTAGGTGTTCTCAGACGTGCATGCATGGCCCGTCGTGTCCAGTTTGAGCAGCCTGTTTTTGGTGTTTTGAGCAGTACATGTTTTTCATTGACCTTGTTTTTTCTTCTACACTGTTGTTATTGGCAATTCTAAGTTTCTTTTTATCACCATCAAGTCGCCTCAGATGCGACTGCAATGAGTTTATTTGCAGTGTAGCCTTGTTTACGGAAAAAACTGCAAATCTAAACAACTTACCGAAAACGAGACAAGGCGGGGGAGTACATGGACGAGGTGTATTGGATATTTTATTTGAGTTCAAAATGATAAAGTAAGTTCCAATACTGACTTTGCACTTGCCTTAAAAAGGTGAAATAAAAATGCGCTAGCAGATACAAGCGCCTTAACCTTGCAAGGACTCTAGAAAATTGGAGACTTTTATGTATGGATGTGTGACCTACTTTTCTCAAGTTCCGTAGAGAGCACTGAAGCTGAGGCTTTAAGCTCCCCGGTATTTAAAATGCATCATCATCGGAATTGACTTTCTCTTTATAATCAAAAAATGAAAAATTATATGCTTGTCAAAAAATTCCCATCGGTATGTTAGGTGCTAAATAATTGTTATGTGTGTGGAATATTTTGGAAAAATTAATAATTGTACCGTTGGAAAAGGCACGTACCATGTGGAAAAAATCTTGAAAAAAATAATTGAACCAGTACGATTATTTGGAACTTCAGAGTACTTTGCCATGATTCTCCAAAGGCCATTTCTGCTAACAGTATCAAATGCCTTGGTCAATACCACATAGGTGAAATAAAGGTCATCATTTTGTTTCTGGCACTTCTCTTGGAGCTGCCTAGCTGCAAACACCATGTCAAAGTTCCACCTTCTTTCTGGAAGCCACAAATTGTCAACAACACCTAGCATCATAAGGCCTTACCAGTGGTAATAGTACTGTAAGGTGAGCATGTAAGGCTGAAAACTGAGTTAAGGGTTGAGTAGTAACAGCTAGTAAGGCTCTCTACAAATGTTCAATGGATGACAGTTTTCTTGGGATGTGGACATTTATAACACTCCAGCTCCTCTCTTTAATGGACAAGACCATAGCTATCATTTTTCAAACTGAGGCTTGTCAGGACTGGGTATCACCATCACGGTCTTTTCCTCAAGATAGAGAATCTTAACTCTTACAAATTAATGCCTGCGTCCATACTATACTTAAGTCTTAACGGATAACCCAATAAACAGACAATATTCGTCGATGCCACTAAAATAATTTCCGAACAAATGTGCTCTTATCCTCGCATGCTTTGTGTGCGTCTCGTTAAAGCGTTTGTTTCATGCGTGAGGTGGAGACACGTGAATACAGCCCAGAATCAGCTAAGAGCACACAATTCAATAAGTGACTATTTTGATTTACATCAGTCAACTCAGCAATTGTAGTAAAGGCAAGTCTCTATACTAGTAAAAGAACATACAGATAGTTTGAAGGCTTTGCACTAGTGGGCCTGATTTGGTCTTAAAGAGCATTTCCAGAGATTTAGATCGATCTTACGAGAACGACCTAACTCCCTAGGGGTTCACGCTAAATTGCAATCAGCCAACCGCGCACGGAAGTTGATTACCCCCTTACGGCTTGTAGTAGGCGGGACGGACTTTTAAGCCAGATTATCTGACAGTAATCTAGTGAGACTCCCCACGGGGATAGATCGATCTAAATGTCTGGGAATACGCCCTTTGACTTCCCATGAAAATACACGGAGAGGATTGAGGAGGGGCTGGTGTGACAGGAATGGTATTCCTCCTCCTAGAAATGGAAGTCCGATGCCCTATACTTACCCCAATACTACGACTAACCGGAGCCTGTAGTAATCAACTCACCTGAGCCTGTAGTATAGGGGCATCGAACTGTCTGTTTGTCATCAAAATAACTCAAAAAGTTATGGACCAATTTTGCTGAAATTTTCAGGAACTGTCAGAAGTGGGCCAAGGAACAGATGATTAGTTTTTGGTGGTGATCCAGATCAATAATCAATCAATAATTAAAAAACTAAATCATTATAGAATGAAAATTTAGGGGTGAAACGTCATTGGGTGGAGACTTGGCGGAGGTCTGCGCTCTCAGAGTGCTATTCTAGTTCGTAATGCAATTATCATGTTTTTTCTGTTATACAGGTTTCCCTCTTTTCTGAGTGACATGGCATAAGCAAGGCAGAAAAAATCAGTTGAATTGTAGCAGTGTTCCCGAAAAACTTTGGACACCAGTCTGACATTATGTCAGACAACTTATCTCAATGTCAAACATTTACTGATCATGTCAGACATTTGAAAAGCACATCATTTTTCATGCTCTAATTATAAAGACAAGTCCGATAACAAGAGCAGCACAAAATGTGCCTACATCAGGTACACTGTGAAATAAGTGGCTTCATTTTCCAGCATGTCAGTCTGTGATGTAAACTTTTCAGCTTTCTGGCCATTCTGATCACCATTTTCTTTAAATCTACTGATCTGACTTAAAATTCACTGGTTCAATATATATATATATATATATATATATATATATATATATATATATATATATATATATATATATATATCAATACTGGTTATAACAAGACTTTGATTTGTCAAATCCTTTTGAATTTAGAATTACATGTAAGAGTTTAAGAATTTAGAAAAATATCAATCAAATTAACAGCATCTTCTGCAAACTCAGTTCCGTAATAATTGTTTTGGTGTACTGCCTGAAAATATTTCTAAAAGTAAATAATTGTACTGGATATTTATGTAATACATACCTTAAACTCTTTCATGTGTACACACAAAATACTGGTAGTTAGAAAATACAAAGTGCATGTCTACGATTGTTTAATTATTATTTTACCTAATTTATATTATTATATTAATTTATTTTAAAATCCTTACCTATATTAAAGAATACAAGAGAAAGCCACGTAATAATGCTCAGACCTTGCTTTAAAAATATGTAATATTTATTAATTAATACTAACTAATACTAGTATTTGTTCTGCACTGGGGAGACAGAGAACGGCGCCACTGTATCTGCACTGTCCGTATGTGTTCACCCCTCAACTCGGTGACTTTTAAGCTGGCCTGAACCGGTTCAGCAGTGGGAGGCCAAACATGAAGTAGTTGGGGAATACACATCGGTGTCTTTTTTTTTTACTACACGTTTGAGTTGCTTGGGAGAATCTGATTCAGAGTCCAAGCGTGGATATTCTATTTGAGTTCAAAACAATAAAGTTCCAGTAGACTACGCATTATCTTTGTAGTTTTAACTGGCTGAAACTAGTCTGTTGTCTAGACAACAAACTACCTGCCACCAAGTAACTGAGAGAAATTTAACTGAAAAATCAATAAACTGGTACATGCCGAGACTCATGTAAGTTGCATTTGCTGTATTGACTTGGGGCTCAGATTAAACTGATGTTTTTATTGCCCAAAACTATGTCACTTTTAAGAAGTATTATTATCTTAAGCAGGGATGAGGTTTTTCCGACTACGGATTTGTGGATTTCCGACTCTTTGGGTTGGGGCCCAAATAGCATACCTGAGATCGATGCAGATCTTAAATAAAAACGGGGGGGGCGTGACGTATCCACCGAGACCTTGCTTATGCTTTAGCAGTTGGAAATCTGAACTTTTTTTAACTTTGGAATACATAAAAACGAATACTGCCCCCTTTTCATTTGAGATATTTGTTAATGTTTAATACCGTCCCACTGTCACTGGTTTTCAACGACCTGTCATTTTTTTTTTTACTTTTCAGTTTCAGATGACTTGTCTGCAGACAAAGTGTTGAGCCATTCAAATGTATTAGTTCAACAACAACAGAAATGACAATAATGTGGACCCGCACATCTAATACAAATGGAAGAGGATGGGGTCCAAACAATTTTAGAAACATCAATTTTGATCACTTGCATCATTAATTTTTTTACAGCTTTCGGATGATGTCTGTCTTACATGTATATAGTTATACCACAAGAAGCTGAACAATTACAAAAAAAAAGAAGGAAAGATTCGTTAGATTTTAAATCTTGTTTGCATCGACATTGTAAAAAAAATACATTAAAAATGAAATAGAAACTGGTTTAAATTCCTTAAATTGTCATTTTTTATTTGGCTAAAAATATTATAAGACGGCTGAAAAATTTTTGATTTGGCTAAAATTTTTCAGAAGTTTGGCTAAAGCAGAAATAATCCTAGCGTTACCCCATATATATATATATATATATATATATATATATATATATATATATATATATATGGGGTAACAATTTAAAGTTAATTAAATTATGATTAGTGTTAAACATCCTGTGTGAATATACTTCGTAAATGACAAATATGAACGAATTAAAATAAATCATTCCAGTTTGTGTTTAAAATTATCATGAAAAAAATGAAAGATTTTCAAAATTGAAAATCTGTTTTCAAAAAAAAAAAGTTACAAGGCATGGCACTGCCACATTCTGTGTTGATAATTTTATTTTTATATATTATGATATTAAAAATAGTAGACTCACCCTTCAAGAAATCAACGAAAACCAGAAGTACGTATTTTTTGCACTGTTTTTCCTGTCATGCCCATCGTAAACACTGTGTTGTCAAGTAAAATGAAGTGTCTGATCAAATGCGGCATTCACGTGCTTGCTTGCAATGCATTCAGTACACTTTGTTTACACTGACAAGTCGAGGTCAGAAATGCACAACGTTTTTCTATCTAATTATGCAGTTTCAATTTTGATTAGTGAATTTTCTGTTATCTGCATGGTCATTTTCTGAATATTTGTACAAGCTACGAAATATTTCTCATTGGAAATTCACCAAGCAGCTTTCCAAGTACAAGCACTATCTAAGTTAAAGTTAAACTGAAAGAAAATTAAGATGAAAAATTTTAAACATGAATTCATACAAAGCTGTGGCACTGCCAAAAAAATATCTATTGGATGTTAGTTCTGGAGGGTCCATACATTTATAACATTACGCGAAAGGGCGCTCTTGCAACTAGAGTTTGAAAAACTAAGGCAAATACCACTGATGGGCATTCTAACTTGTATCGAAAAATATGTAGTGTCGTTTCGAGTTGTATCATATATATATAATATATATACCTTTTGACCTCACTTTCTTCCAAACCAGTTATGAAGTCGGTTTCTACTTTTATCCCGCCATACTCATTCACAGCAACAGGTGACCCTTTGATGGTCTTATTTTCTATCCTTTTAGTGAAACAAAATGAAAATCCTTGCTTGTTACCTTCCGCCATTACTTTGTAATCGTTGCGCTGTGTAGCTTCCGGTAAAGACAAGCTACTTCCGTTGAACTCCACTGTAATTTAACCTTTGTTGTGTGAGGTAACTTAACTCAAAACTCAAGTTTAACTTATAGTAAAGTTAACGAGTCAAACTGATAGAGATTATATTGAGATAACTTTTTAACTATGTTGGCCACTGCCCTCTAGCGGTATTTAGTGTAAACTTACTCTTACAGGTAAATGCATGGCGTTACTGCCGTGTAGGAAAAGTTATTACTGTAGACCTCGACCCCGCATTATGGAACGACCCCGGATTATGGAACAAAACCGGAAGTTTGCCCTTTTTACCCAGCATGCAGAGCGTAAAAAATCCCCGTTCCACGTAAGTTTCAAGCGTCTGCTACAATGTATCAAACGCGCTATGCAGACGCACGTTACGACCTGATACAATTGAAGTGTTAGCGTTTGAAAGTTCGTTGCTCTTAAATTTGATAAAATTAATACTGAACTTACGTTTATTCAAACAAGTTTTTAAGTCGTTTTCCGTCCGTTCTCGTCTGCACTTGTTACTGTCAGTTTCCGATCTCGATTTCTAACTTTTTCATACTGGTTACGGGTAGATACATCGATCGCTGTGGACGTAAACACGGCCGTCTTTTACTGCTATAAGTGTTGTAGCCTAACTTGTCTCATCTCTTATTGTTTGTGTTTCTTGATCTCGGCTTATTGAAATAATTTTCAAAACATCCACTTACAAGAGTAGGCCTAACAAGTTGAAGTATTCCATGATCTCATAAAAATGGCTTCGATGTTGGCCATCGCAGTGTGCGCTTTCTGTGCACTGTAAACTGCCGCTAGAGAACGCTCCAAGCGCTATTAGGCTCACGCCGCTTGTGACTTTAAATAAATTTGTTGCCACAAAATAAGAATTTATATTGACTTTTTATATTGGACATTATGAGTGAAAATATAGTTACTGACCTTGTTCATGCACAATGAATTTCAGCATGCCGAAGAGAAAGTTATATGATCCTGAGTGTTTACATGCTGCTATCAGTGCCGTGAGAGAGGACTCTTATTCATTATCAGAGGCGGCACGTATGTTTGACGTGCCGAAGACGACCCTTTATAATCATATTTCAGGTATACAAATGACACATGTTTGATCTTTGTTCTGATGAAAATAAAAAATTTAAAATAGCTACCCTAGACTGCATTCCCACATATATTAAGATCGATCTATCCCCATGGGGAGTCTCACTAGATTGCTGTCAGCCTGACCGGCTTAAATGTCTGTCCCGCCTACTAAAAGGTGTAAGGGGATTAATTAACTTTTGTGCGCGTTCGGCTCTCAGAAGCTGACCCAGTGTTAAACTTGTCAATCATTTATTAGGTTTCCGCCTTCTACTCGAAGTTTTTTCTTTAAATCTTCTTATTTCATCTGTCTCTATCTTGTATCTTCTTCTTCTTCTCTTTTTCTTAAATATACCACAGGTGCTCTCAAGGGAGGTGGTCAAGTCATATTAAGCACCAAATATGATTATTTAAGTTAGATTATTTCTTGAAAGTGTCAGTACCTGGTGCTACCATAAAAATGATAAAATTGTAAAAAGAGAAGTGAAGTTACTTAAAAAAAAAAAAAAGATAACACCATACTACATATTAAGTACATACACTGAAATGTGATCAAATTAGGTTCCATTTTCCATACATAGCCATGATTACAAATAGATCACTGTCCAATCATGTGCAATCAAGATTAAATTCTAAATAAAACCTACAACAAGAGATAACTTACAGCAAGCTATGTCAGTAATGTGACATTTCTTGGATGGCACCCATAAATTAGAAGAACCAGTGTCAAACACCACTTTGAAGGCTTGGCCTGGGGTGCCAATGGTAATGGGACCATAATATTGAGCCTAAAATGTATAAATTATGTAATTATACAATCTGTACATAATACAATTATAGCAAACAGGTGATTTGAAGTTATGTGCTATGTTACTGGTGTACAGAACTAATCATTTTATTAATATAAAAAACCTGTCTACCAAAAATGTTCAAGTATCGGCATATGATGAATTAACAGGTATATCGGACCACACTACCCGTTTTCAAGGTGTGTGTCAGATTGCATTTCAGAGTATCATACCCCAGAACAATTTTTGTAGGACGACCGCGGGCTCATCCTGTCGGTGTTCTGACTTGTACTTCGAAATGCGATCTGACACGCACCTTAAAAACGGGTAGTGTGGTCCGATAAACTGGTTAATTCAGGATCCTTATGTGCCGAGTCTGGTAGTTGGGTAGGCCTGAACGTTACACAACTTGAGTATTTGATGTCTAAAATATTCAAGCTTCATTACTTATCAAACAAAAACCTAAAATTCAAAAATCAAAATGGCCAAATGAAACTGGAAAATAGTCAAAATTGAATTGTTTTGAATGAAGAGAAAAGGGAAAATGACATTGGGTAAAATATCAGATATGGAGTATAACAAACCAAAGATCCACCCTTCTGTGCCTTAAGAGGAAGAACTGTAGAAACATTTAACACAGAAAATACTTTAATTTTCCAAAAATGTCCAGGAAAGAGAGACATCCTGGGTATGTACCACCAGCAAGGCCTATGCAGGCAGATGGGATAGGAAAACAAAATATATTTCCTGAATGTGGTTTCAAAGCTTATATAAATGGTAAAACTGATAAATGAAAAAAAATCAGAAAGATACAATTGTACCCCAAATGAGATGGATCACTAAGGAAAGGATGGATTTATTTTTAAAGGTTATTTCCTTTATAAGGAGTTCCAATAATAAAGTTTTTGTATGCCATGGGGGCAGTTTTGAAGCAAACTGATAGCACCCCCAGTTCAATGCTGGTGGTACAAATAAATAACTAAATCAATTAATAAAAATAAATAAATCAATTAATAAAAATAAATAAATAAATTATTAACATTTCCATCTTTGTCCACATATAACCTTTCCACATCAAGAGAGATACTAATGAACAAACTACCTTTCCCACTTTACAACAACTACTTCTCTTTAAAAGTCGGACTGAAAGTTCTGTCACCAAGATGAAATTAATGTTTTTCTCCAGCTGCAAATTGTGTCCAAGAGTTCATAAGGCCAGTATTTGCAGTTTAGTTCTTCTCCCTTTACTTGTACACCAACACATGGAAATTATATATAAATGATACTGACCAAACACAGATATATAACCTATCTGCATAAAAACCCAGTTCTTAACCACAATGAAAAGATTCCAACACAGATTATAACAATTATCCCTTCGAATGGTGTGATAAATGCTTACACAAAAATAATCTGAAAATAGCTTCTCCTTCATTACATCTCGTTGCTTTGTATAGAAAATATATGCTTTTATATATATTATGATTCAAATTAAATCAATCAAATTTGAAAATGCAATTTGACTAAGTTATTCCATTTATAACCTGTCAAATAGCTATGACGGAGCTTGTGTCAAATCTGGTGTAATATAAGCAATTAAGGCTGTTACAAATATCGGTAGCATCACCTCCCAACAGAGGCAGCCTTAACAATCATGGTAAAATCTATCATACCCATTTAATAAAGTGAAGGTCAGCATTTTACAGCTGACAAAACTGGACTAGTTGACAAGATATTTGATATAAAGCTCAGATTAGTCAAGGGGAGGTGAAGCAAAGTGAAACAAGAGCACAAACTTTAATGACAAAAACAAAAAATGGTTTGATAATTAACAACATGATTATATTAAATTAAAATGTACAAGGCCATACAATGTACACGCCAGTGCAGGAATAAGATGAATGGAACTGAAATCAGTTATTGAATAATGAATACATGCTTTTTTTTCTGGAAATTGTTTCATTATCAATTATCAAATGCTACTTTTCTTCTACAGCTGAGAAACCACTTGAATCATCAGGTACACAATGTAAGACTTGAAAAGCATTTTTAACACTGACTGTGCATGATCAGCTGTGCAATATATATATATCAAATAAACAAAACACATAATAAAAATTAAGCAGTTTAAAAGTATAATGGAAAAAACTATTAAAATATAAAAATGCAGCCAAGCAGCAAACTTACATCCAGATAGTTGGACAGTGGTTCTGGTCCACCAACGATATAACGTGCCTTCAGCATGTCAATCGAGGTGCCAACTGACTGCAGAGTCCTACGTGCACTCTGAAACTTGTGTAGTGGGACACTGAAATAAAACCAGTACTAGTAGTTTAATATACACCCTCTACAAATAGAAATACCAACATAAAACACATTAAATAAATGTAAATGAAAAAAAAAAAAAAAAACATCCAAGACAATAAACACAGATCATTTTCACCTCATGCCCACTTTACTACAGAACAGGCTTGCTAGTAACTTGAAATATTTAAGAATCAGTAAATATACTTGTACTTTTATCATTTGCGACCACTAAAATAAAATAAGTCAGAATTAGACTTGCAGCTTAGACATGATGGGTAAAGGAGTGACTATGGGTGTTTAGTCCTGTTGAGCACTCTAAAAGAGTCAATAAACTGTGAGCAAACTGTCCTCTGGGTGGTTCCAGTGTTAAACAATTTTAGGTACATTTATAAGGGTTCATGTTCGTTTCTGTATTGCCTTGTGGTGGATGGAAGCATTAAGTAAAGTGATTCTTGCATGGTTGCCAAGCAGATTGTCAGAATTATGTGCAGAAAAGTTCTTGACTTTAACTGTACGCCTACAACGATGGATTTCATTCAGATATCAATATTGACACATCGGTTGAAACATTCATGGCATGAGACCCTCCATCATTTTGTAGAAAAATATAAATCTATGCATCTATCAGAATGAGGTTAGACCTAGTTCTTAAAACACTCTATAGACACACTTGTCTTTCTGTCAGCATAGTCACTCCTTGTGAGATGTGCTGCCTGTTTTTGCATTTTTTCAATTTTGTTTATATATAGCTAACTATCATCTACAGAACTTTTCACTGCATCTAAACATTTAATTATGACTTCTACCTACATCAGCAAAGTCTTTCACCAGGACCAGCATGCTTCAATACAGTAAATTATGACCTGAACATCCAATGAATTTTTTATTCCCCATATTCTTTCAAAATAATACTATACTTTAGTAGAAATACAACGCTTTTATCTGAGGCGACTTTAGCTTTTAGAAAGCAAAAAAAAAAAAAAAAAAAATGCTTTTAGTTTTTAAAGAAGTTAAATACTGAGTTCATGTGATCAGATTTTTTAAAATTGAAAAGAACAAAACTTTTAATAAATTCACAATAAGAATGAAATGCCATATACTAAGTAATACATATAATCATTCCAATAGACCACACTTGTTCAAAATAAAGTATGGACTAATAAGGACAGGAATGAGTAAACAGCTGGCACATGTGGGTGATATATCTAAAGCAAGGATGGTTAGAGATGTATGACTAAATATCTTGCGACTCCTGATCACAAGCTTACAAAGACTTTGAGAATAGAGCATGTGACCTAAGACTTTATCATAGTTTTCCTGTTTCAAAGACCTATCTATCTATCTATCTATCTATCTATCTCAATGTGCATGTGGTGTCTGCACTGTCACATGTACATTGGCATAATGATATTAATCTTTGTTAACATTTCAATTATGAACAACGTGTGTTAGTTCTCCCAATATCATTATTATTGATACTAAACACACTTCTTCTAATTATAAGTTTAGTGTGAATTAAATAAACCATTTAAATGTGATCAAAAGTATATATCCTCCTCATTAATATCATATTTTTTTCATATGGATATATGGGTTTTTAAATAGGCAGAGCATCCATTCTATTATGCAAGAGTGTGCAGATGATTAAAAATGCAAAAGCCAATCTTAAACAGATCTATAATTAGATTTGAAGGTTATTTCCCTTTACATTTTATGTCACTAAATAAAAAAATGCTTACTACTTGGCAATACATCTAAGGAAAATTTACATATTTCAAATTACCCAGCAAACTATAGTGCCCATTTCAATTCTAAACCATGTCATGAAAAATTAAAAAAGAAAACTGCAAATCATCCATTGTGCCATGATAATAGGTGCAGTCCATATCTTATTATCTGTTCACATTTAGTCTGTTATCAATTTTTCACATTGATCACACACTGATCACACATAAAACATGGAGCTACACCTATTAATATAGATATAGTACAAAACATATTGAACTAAAAACTAACTAATTTTGATATACAACTGTAGTTTTGACCAATTAACACATAAAAGACATGGTGATACATCTATCAATGTAGATATCTGTACATGTAGATGTAGTGTAACTTTTCAATTTTTCAGAAGTCAATTCTGATGGAGGTACATGGTTATGGTAAGTATAGGTGTCTAACTATGCCAAGGTTTATGTACTGTTTTCTCGTGGTAAAAAAATTCAATACAAACGGATTTCTTAGAACACTGACAAAGAATAAAAAGAATCATAAACTGTGTCAAAAATATCTTGCACCATCATGTTATAAGAAAATTATCTCTTTATGTGTACCTGAATACAAAAGTTGCTTTACAATGCCACTAAAGGAAAACATGTTATTTTCTTTAAAATTGCTGTAAGCAATAATTTTAAAGTTTAATGTAAATTTATGCAACAAAGTAAAACTGATCTACATCCGTAACATAAGCAACAACAAAGGAGTGATTTTATTTCCTCATTGTGTATTAATGTGGCCCCATATTTACACTTACCGAACTAGAGCCTCGCCAGACACCATAAGTGCCAAAATGACACATATCCCAGTGAACGCCTTCATCTTCCCTGGTATAGAGTTGGAGCTACAAATGCAAGGACAACTTGGGACCAGCTAGTTATTTATGGCGGCCCTGGAATGAGGACACGAATGAGACCGGCGTCAGGCATCCACACAAAATAAATGGAAGAGAGTTACACCGGCATTTTTTATTTTTGCAAACATGAGTGAATTTTTTCATTCAGAATTTGAAGTACATAAAAATCATTGTAAATAAGAGTCAACAGTTCAAAAGGGCATTAATCACATATTTTCCTACGCATATTCTGTTACCTCACTTACCTCCTCACTGATTAAACACTTCACAGTCATGTGATGCTGTTTACGCCGCTTAAAACATAAATATTTATTAATAAACTTGGTAATTTTAATTATATAATCGTTATTATGTTTGACTAATTTTTGTAAAAATGAAAATGTCGCCTTCGAGAAACATTTATGCAACAGACTTTAACGTTACAATTAATTTTCAATTTGTTTTAAGCAATCCTTGTAGTGCTCTTTAGTATGAAAAGTCCCGAACAATACGTTTTGTTTTGGCTGTAAGTGTAAATCTGAAATTTCATGCGAACGGTGTGGATATTATCACAAATTATTACCACAATAATTGCAGAATACGGATGGCCTCTCGAGAAGAGAACAGGAACAGACGGCACGGCTCCCATGGTGAAAGTGAATTACCGGATCTTTATAGCATTTTTAAAGGAGAGGTAATTTATAAATCCCGCTCGTGTGTTTCCGATTCAACTGAGCACGATATTTGACAAAATTATGTGGTTAATACTGTCTTAAACTCTAAAATGCACTTGTAAAAATCTTACATGTTGTACATCTTACCAAGCTTACATAATACAGAAAATAATAAGATAAATAAATACATAAATAAATGGAAAGCAAGTAATTTCTGTAAACAATTAAATGCAATCGGCATACTATAGTTACATGTACGTTAATGGCAAGATGGGTAGCAGTGTTGGTTCCAGGCTTTGTGCATAAGTAAATGCAGTTTGGATCTTGGATGATATTTAAAAAGCACTGGAAATCACATGCTTGAAATTTTTCTTTAGGTCAATTGTCAAATTTAAAGATACTTAACACATCTTGAAAAGTCCCAAAGTCATATTTTAAAAACAAATATCAAGCAAAGCTGCTTACCTTTCCCAATTTAGACTTTTAAAGTGATGAACCCTTGCAATAAAAGTACCTGATGTCTATATTTCTATCTGAAATGTCATGCAGACATGGTAGTCCAAATGAATCGACAAAATTTGTTTAGAACTAAGTTATTGATTAGAAATGCTACAAAAAACAAAATGTAATTACAGGGACAGGTTGAGCAATTGTTTCTTCATTTTTCGAGGAAAATTACTAGTAGATTTGGCACAAAATCCTGAGTCCATGCTGTCAGTCAGTGGTTAACAAGCTTTAAGCTTATGTGAGGAATAATTGTTTTTAGCAGAGTGTATATTTCTGAAGATATTTGGTTTCTTTGCAGATATCATCTGTACAGCCATATGGAGCATTTGTGAAAATTCCTGGTTTGAAGAAGCAAGGTAATCAGGGAAGACTCTAGCTTTTTTGTACTTTGAACTAAATGTGTCACTTGTAACTGTAATTTAAGCTGCTTAAATTTCAAGTAGAAATCATGAGATTTTGAAATTCTGCTATTTACCAGGTCTTGTGCATAAGTCTCAGCTCTCACAGTCAAGAGTGGACAACCCTGCCGAAGTAGTAGATGTTGGTGAAAGTGTCTACTGCAAGGTCATTACTCTTGAGGTTAGTAAATAATATTACATATAATGCAGCTTCACCTGGACAATTTCATGTGAATGTGGTATTTCTATTTTCTCACTCTCTCCTTTCTGTCATTTTCCCCATCTTTTTAGAAGCATTTTACTGGCTTTGATTTTTAAAAGCTGTGTTATTGATCATAGGTTTTGCAGTGGATGAAACCCATACAATTAGAAAATATAAAATGATTGCATTGGACAATTTCATTTTTTTTATGTACAGACACAGATGTGTCTGTACATATTGCCATCACCTGCGTCTGTCGTTGCCGATGCCGATGCCGTGCACTTTCCTTGTAAACACGATAAGTGGAGGGCAGTTTTACTTTTTGGCTTTATATTTACAGAGCTGGTGAATATTCATAAAACGCAGGTCAAGTTCGAAAATCAGCATGATCGGGCCATTATTGTAGAAGTTATGCTGTTTTTTCACTTTTCAGCATATTTTTCACATTTCCTCAGATTCAATTCTTAGGCATGTTAACAGTCTCATTATTAAACTAATAAGATACGTAAAAGTTTTTGTTTGACATTTCCTGCATCTTTACAACATTGTTAGTTGATTTTGTAAAAATGATGGTAAACTTGTTAT